AGAAGAAGAAGAAGAAGAAGAAGAAGAAGAAGAAGAAGAAGAAGAAGGGGGGGAGGAGGAGAAAGATGTTGCAATATGGACATTTTTGAATGTGGCTTTTCTCATTTGTTCCTTAAGGCTCGGAAGATCTAGTTGCTACTCTAGGGTTGCTCCTAAAATCTCTGTTCCATCTTTACCGCTGCTCTGCACTATAAAATGAGGCATAAATCAGCAGCGGCTGAGCATTTTGGGAAATGTCTTCATTCTACAGTTGCAGCACGCCTTTAAACCAGTCTCCATACAACACCCACTGCAACTGCAACTTTACCTTAAGGTAAATTGAGGTTCAGATCTCCTGAGACAAGAAAATCCCCCCCGTTTGTTTATATAAACCCAGAATGGGCTAGAGCAGTAAGATTTTTAAAAATGGTCACCTCTTTCTTAAAGAAAGGAAGGAAGAAGCAAGGAGAAATTTTTAGAATGGGGGGGTGGGTGGGAAAGGAGTGGAAAAAAATATCTTTAGCCTCTATGTACAAATCCCATTGTAAGGAAGAACACGCATCTTTTCACTTTTTGTAGAAACATATACCTAGGTTTAGAATACATACACATACACACACGCCAAATATTTTGGGGTGGGGGGAAATGGCTGTCCCCTTAATTGTCGACCCCCAGTTTCGAGAGGCCTTGACGAAAATCCTGCAATTCATCTATCTTTCCATCGAGTACATCTAAAAAAGTTTGTAACTCCATCTTCAAGTGACTCTGCCTGTGTTTGCTCTCTTCTACTTCCGTCCGCAGAGCTCTGACTTTCTCTTCCAGGTCTTTATTTCTTTTCTCAGCTGCCTGCAAAACAGAAAGTTTGTTTGAAGAACAGGCCAACGGTCGCAGGCCAACCGGCCAATATATCGCCTTTCACTCCTTTCTGCATTTCTAGGACGACGTCTTTTATAAACCATCTGCAATTGAATTCCCCTAGCTTATTTTAATCTGAGCAGAGCATAGAAACATGGAGATGTCATCAACACAACTATCCTCTTTGCAGGGAATTGTCACTCTGGCTGCATTTTTTTTTTTTTTTGCAGTAGGTTAGAATTTATGTCATGCACTCTGCATGTGTCGTTATCATCATTATCATTTCCAGAATTTGTTCTATGCATCATTTTTTTTGTCTTTTAATGACCCCATAATCCCTTCATCAGGGTGGAGTCAGGGCAACTGAATGGAGGAAAGCATTTACTGGCCAGATGCCCTTCCTATCACCAATGCAGAGTTTTGCTCAGCAGATACATTCTCAGTGTGTCCACAGAGAGAAATATCTGCCACTACTAAGATCGAACTCACAGCCTCCTCACTGTGAGGCGAGAGCTCCACCCCTAAGCCACCGCACCACTATTCATCTATACATCATATACACTATACATCATTTGAACGTATTAAATTGCCTTCCCAATTCTGGCAGGCTCCAGGTGTGCTTTGGAACGGCTGAGATGGGAACTGCTCCTCAACTTTTAAACCCTCCAAGCTCAGGGAAGGTACATTAAAATCTAGATTTCTTTTACTTCTCTTGCAAAGCTCACACAGTATCTATGAGCCAATGTGTCTTGTTTGTGAATTCAATTTTTTAAAATTAAACATCAATACACCTAAAGTTTTATTGGCTAATATGAATAAAGGCAGTGGTGCAAGTTAAAGTTCTCCTTCAAGGCAAATCTACACTCAAGCATTTTGCCTCTGTGGGTCCAATTCCACCTATTCCTAAGGCAAGGTGAATAAAAATATCTATTCCTGAAGTCCTTCCAAAATTGAAAAACAAAGTGTGCATTCTACAGAATGAACTATTCTTAAACTGAAGTCATCAGCTTTCAGTAGGTACAAAGTTGGAATGAAGGTGCATTGTTTTATTAATTTTTTTAACACAATGAATATATAAACTAAACAAAAGATACTGGACAAAATACCGCTAAGGAAAGAGGAAATATACAGGGACTATCAAAAGAATGGGAGTAAAATCGTAACAAATAAGGACAAGACTGAATGCACATTATTGTGTGTTGTCTATGGAGATTCTTAGCCATCCAGCTTGTGGTTGTTCCAAAGGTGCTTTTTTGAAAAGGAATTGGACTTTGTTTTTCCTTAAAGATGTTTCGCTTCTAATCCAAGAAGCTTCTTCAGTTCTTCAGAAGGCAACTGGACTTTGTTTTTCCTTGGAGATGTTTTGCTTCTCATCTAAGAAGCTTCTTCAGTTCTGATAATGATGGAGAATGGAAGGATTTATATTCCTTGCAGTCATCTAGTTGTGAGCACATTTTCTGAGAGTTGTTGAGGCCAGTTGGAGGTTTATCTGTTTCCCCACCTGTGTTGTAAATAGACTCCTCTCAACAGTTCCAAGAAAGTTCCACACCCATTTGCACTACTCAAGAGAGCCCGAGGGCTCTTCAAGTGGCCTCAACAGCTCTAATGACCAGATGACTGCAAGGAATTTAAATCCTTCCATTCTCCCCCATTCAGTCAGAACTGAAGAAGTTTCTTGGATGAGAAGTGAAATGTCTTCAAGGAAAAAAACTAAATCTCATTTCCTTTTGAAAAAGGAATTATCGGGTGTTGGTTTTGGATGGCTGAGCTACAAATGCCACTGATGATTATACAACACAGCCTTATTGCCTTGTGACTTTATGGTTGGTATGGTTTCCAATCAAGAATGGGAAGAACATTTTCAAATCATAAATGGGAAGAATAGTTTATACGTATAAACGAGATGAACATATTGTAGCTACATCTTCTTACAGAGATTAGGAATCTATAGAGATGAGGAATATGTAGGTAGCCAGCCCTCTAGATATCACCGAATGACAAGCAGCTACCATCAGCCACAACCCGTAATGGTGCTAATGGCGGGCGATGATGGGAGTTCTAGCCATGCCTGGAGGGCTACCTAGTCTCAATCTTTACCCATGGAGATGGCTTCACTGAGAGCCTATTTCATTTTCCTGACGTATCAGAATGAATCACAGCCGTTGTCCCTGTATCCTGCTTATAAAAAAAAAAGATATTGGCTGAAGATTTGAAGCAATATTTAATTTAAACCGCAAAATGTTTTACCAAAGACTAATAAGTATTCCTACCTGCAGTTTCTGAGAAACCGTTTCACATTCTGTCATGAGCTGAGGTATAATTTCACCCTGTTTCCGTAGATCTTCCAATTCCTGGAGAAATATGCATGCCATGAAATTATAATCACATACATCCTCACCTCTCCCACTTTCTTAAATATATATTTTAAGACATTAGAAGAAAGCATTAGCACCTGAATGCTCGGGGAACTTTCCACTTGTCAAAGGAAATGAATCATTAAAATGTTAACTTAAAGGGGAAACATGTCTTCTTGCTGGGCTTTGCCTGCAAACTTAGCAATAATTTCAACATATAATGATACCTTCTGCTTTAATAAATAGTCCAAATACACAGATCTATTTGTACATTAAAATGTTGGGTTATCCTTGGGTGGCGCGGGGGAAGAGAATGTATTAAAATAGCAGCATCCATTGCAAGCGAAGATTTTGCTAAAAAATAGGGTGATTCTTAGCCTTCAAGGCAATATCTTGAAGAAGAAAACCAGAATGGTTGGGGAAGGGATTTCATTAAAAAGTTGTTCCATTACCAATGGGACAATGTTTGGATGGACTGGCCCCAGAGAAGCTCTTTCCAAAAATAGCAAATCAGCACCAGCCAAATGGATAGCGCCAACTAGCTGATAGGGGAATAAAGTGCATTCTAAAGTGCAAGGTAGAAGATAGCATTTTTAAATGGCTGGCTGGGAAATACTCTTTTTATTTATTTATATCCTGCCTTTATTATTTTTATAAACAGCTCAAGGCAGCTAACATCTCCAACACACATTCCCCACCGCAACAATCCCGGTGGGTTGGGTTGAGAGAGGGACTAGCCCAAAGTCACCCAGCTGGCTTTGATGAGTAAAGTGGGACTAGAATTCACAGTCTCCTGGTGGTTGGTTCAAAGTCACCCAGCTGGCTTTCATGGTGATGGTGGGACTAGAATGCACAGTCTTCTGGTGATTGGCCCAAGGTTGCTCAGTTGGCTTTCGTGGCTAACTAAGGTGGGACTGGAACTCACAGTCTCCTGGTGATTGGCCCAAGGTCACTCACTGCCTTTCATGGCTAAGGCAGGAATAGAACTCAGGCGTCTCTGGCTTTCCAGCCTGATGCCTTAACCACTAGGTCAAACTGGCTCTGGGTATTCTTTTAAGTGGCCACTAAGGGAGGGAAATAATAAAGCCAATTTATTAGTAGAGCAAGGATTTCTTGATTTAGGAAAGGGAGCATTTTGCTAGTCCTATATTGCTGCTTATTAATTTCTGCTTCCTGTAAGAGGTGTTTTTGTATGTACAAGGGGGACGCAAAACCCTCCGGTTGTTGCCCATCTTGCCTGCCAGAGATACTCATGCCACTACAACATATAAAAAGTCTGCACCCGAAAAGGAAAGCCAATGTTTTCTCCTTTTCCTGATGCCCCCACCCCCCACCCCCCACCCCTCTGGCGTTGCATTCCCACTCCGGAAGTGCAGGTTTTGCAAAGGTGCTCCTCCCGCCCTGGCACACATTCGGAAGGGAATTCACACGGACCGGGTTTGTCTTGCAAAGGCAAAATTAGCTTTCCGTCTGGCACTTGCTGGGGCTTGCTGAGGCCCGGGTGCTGCCTGAGAAGCAGGCGCAAGGCCAAACCCTCGCCCACAAACGAAAAGGCAGCTCGTCAGATTTACGAGCCTTGAAAGTTACAAAATGCTACGATGGATGCTATTATCCATGGAGAAGGCTGGGTGAAAAAGGCTCGGTTGTTGTTGTGTTTTTTTCCCCCTTTGAAGCTTATTGGCAGAAGATGTTTGGAACCGGGCATTCACGTGTCTGAACTGATTGTGTGTCCAGGTAGTCCTCGCCTTATGACCACAACTGAGCCCAACATTTCTGTTGCTAAGTGAAACACTCGTTAAGTGTGGGGGTTTTGGCCCCATTTTTTGCCCTTTCTTGCTACGGTTGTTAAGTGAATCACTGCAGCTGTGAAGTTAGTAACGCGGCTGTTAAGTGAATGCCTTCCCCATGGACCTTGCTGGTCAGAAGGTTGCAAAAGTGGGTCATGTGACTCCCTAGGACACTGCAACTGTCATAAATATGAGTCAGGGGCCAAGCGCCTGAATTTGGATCACGTGACCATGGAGATGCTGCAAAAGTATGAAAAATGGTCCTAACTCACTTTTTTCAGGGCCGCTGTAAGTTCAAACGGAAACTAAATGAAAACTGTCATAAGTCAGATAACAGATAACAGATGATCAGAGTTGGAAAAGACCTTGTAGGTCATCTAGTCCAACCCCCTGCCCAAGCAGGAGACCCTACACCCTTGATGATGAGCCTATGGCACGTGTGCCACAGGTGGCACGTAGAGCCCTCTCTGCGGGTATGCCAGCCATCGCCCCAGCCCAGCTCCATCGCGCATGCGTGGGCGCCTCCTGCCAGCCAGTCTCTTTTGGGGGGCAATAGGGGCTCCAGACTGATGATGTGCTTGACCCCACTCTCAAGCTCAGCCTGGTCATCTCCTACAGGAGGGTGACCAGCAGAACTTCAAATCCAGGGTGTAACTATGGGCCGTGATGGTACAGTGGTTAGAATGCAGTACTGCAGGCTACTTCTGCTGACTGCCGGCTGCCAGCAGTTCGATTCTGACGGACTCAAGGTTGACTCAGCCTTCCATCCTTCTGAGGTTGGTAAAAATGAGGACCCAGATTCTTGGGGGTAATACGCTGACTCTGTAAGCCACTTAGAGAGGGCTGTAAAAACACTATGAAGTGGTATATAAGGGCTATTGCTGCCCCTAGGCAGATTCATCATAATTTCCAACAGTCATTAAGTGACCATCATATTGTAACTCAAGGACTACCTGTATAATCAAAGCCAGCCAGCCTGCTTGGCTCTCCCTCCCTCCCTCTCTCTCTCTCTCCTTCCCTCCCTCCCTCCCTCCCTCCCTCCCACCCTTGATCCCCCTCTCTCTTTCTCTCTCTTTCTCTTACTGGAAGGCTATGAGTCAGTCATTCACTCTCTTAACCAAAGCTACCTCACAGGCTGGTTGATGTGGAGATAAACCTGAGAGAGAAAATATGTCTATTGTGAGCTTCTGAAGGCAAAGCCAAGCAGATACGAAGGAATCAATGCCTGGATGAGAATGACCCAATGCAGTAATTCTTCCCCCAATAATCTTACCTTTGCGTCTCTACTGTCCCAAAGATTTGTTTTGACCAAGCGTACAACTCTCATAGCTCTTTCCTTCCATCCACAGCTTTACTTACCAGCTCTTTATCCTGAAGTTCCGTTTCCAGGTCCTGAAGACGCCTGCTAAGCTGTGTGTTCCGGTCACGCTCCTTATCAATTTCATTGCACTGTTCTTCCAGCTCCTCGATCTGAAAGAAAGAAAACACATGGCCTCTTTAACTTTGTCCTTGAAGTAGACTCTTGGCTGGAGTAACAGTTCATGTCAAGCGCCATTGTTCTCATGGCGCTTGACGTGAACTGTAAAAACTATAGATCCCTTCTAATAAGGCCTGCCTGTTGGTGCAGGGGTTAGAAATACAGCATTACAGGCAAACTCTGCCCACAGCCCGGAGTTTAATCCTGACTGGCTCAAGGTTGACCTTCTATCCTACCAAGGTCAGTAAAATGAGGATCCAAATTTTGGGGGTCAAGATGCCGACATTTTTAACTGCTCAGAGAGTGCTGAGCAGAGAGTAAAGTCTAAGTGCTACTGCTATTACTAATGAAATAAACTATCTGTCAACTCATAAAACATTCCTATGCCTGTTTTAGTAGTTGCCATAAAAAAAAGGGGGGGGGAATCTGAAAGAGTAGTGCAGCAGTTTGAAAGCAAAAGTACATTCCAACTCTTATCTTTAAAAGATTGTGACTAAAATACCAGAACTTTTGCCCACAAATATATTTAATTGGAGAACGTGAATGATGACACGTAGCCCATGAACATGCTCAATTGGAGAATTTGGTTTATGAGATACCCAGGGGGGAAACACGGTCATAGGTGACTATAAATTATGTATGCCAGAGTTGGTTTCATACAGGGCAGGGCCAGTATGTCGCCTCTAATAAATCCTTTGAAGTTGGTTGAAGTTTGGCTCGAGAATCATGGTTTAACTAGAGCAATTGCTGGAATCCTGACACTATTATTATCCCTCCAATTTTGATGGACACCTTAAGAAAAGCAACCTCCGTCTTTAAAGTGTTTTAAGCTCTTCACCCTCCACGGATTTAATGAGGATCTTAGCAATAAATAGCAAAAACAGACGCTTTCATTGATGGCATCCCATACCTTACTCCGCAGCTGATCATTTTCGTCTTTGCTAATGGAAAACTGCTTTTTCCAGTGCTCTATGCTGGCCGCGGATTCCTGGAGAGCCGTGGTGAGCCTTGCATTGCTCTCTCTAAGTGCCTGCAATTCTGTTTCCCATTTCTTGACATTGGAGGTACTAAAGATGAGAAAACATGCACAGGCACTTTTGAAATTTGTTGATACAAGCTGAATTGTGATTTTTTTTTTCTTCAACAGGAGCAAAAGAGCAATGCCCCCTCCCTATTCCACCTTTGCAATTAACGTTTTTTTCAGGGTAAACAAAATAAATTAGTGTTATGCATCGTGACGAGGTTCCTCGTTTTCACTGCATTCCTATACTCTTGCAAATTAAAAGAGGGCATTCTCATGATTATTTGATATTGTTTAGTCCCCTCAAGCTGCAAAAAAAATATAATCATAATCAGCATTATCCAAACTTGTCTACAATTTGCCTTATGCATTGTTAGTTAATTTACATACGTCTGGCTGAAAAGAATTCTTGTAAAAGGGATATTATAAATTTGCCCTAATCGGTATAAATCTGGTATGAAACAAAATGTGTGAATCTGTTCAGTATGTAAAACACGACTCTTCCCCGAGAGCAAAAATTGAAAACAAACTGAAAAACACTTCGTTATGTTGGGTTTGTCTAGCACCATATGTGGCCACCAGATGCTGGGTGTTCTTTGGTCCTCAAAAGCTCTTGGAACAGACAGAATTTTTTTTAGTTCAGAACATGCTCACATCATGGAGATACAGTTATAAACTATCTCCCTGCAACGGTGGCACTGGAAGCAAAAATGGATACGTCCCAATTGTGCCACTTTATTTGATTTTAGGATCGTCCCAGTAATCCATTCCTGCAAGAGGAAATGTCCTCTCTCCACAGTGGAGAAGCCAATCATGAAGATAGTAGAACTTGCAAAAAGAAAAAAGGCTGCCTTGACTTGTTTGATTAGGGATAGAAAAACTACAATTACTTTTATGAAAGACTGGAAATCCTTTTTGGATTTTTTTTTGTGAAGATGGATAAGAATGAACTGGTGATTTCCAAACTGATCATTGAAAAGGGAATGTGTATGGGAAAAAGGGAATACATTATGTAATTTTGAGAGAGGAAAATGATATTGCCTATAAATGCAATAAAGTCACTTCTTTAAATGTTTATTTTTCTTTTTCTTTTTTTAATGTTTTTCCTTTCCTTTCCTTCCCTTTTCCTTTCCTTTTCCTTTCCTCTTCCTTAACTTCTTAACTTACTTAACTTCCCCCTTTTCCCCTTCCCTTCCTTTCCCTTCCTTCCTTCCTTCCTTCCTTTCTTCCTTCCTTTCTCCCTTCCTTCCCACATTTTTCTTTTAAATTTGCAAAGCATTTCTTTTCTAAAATTTTATTTGTTTGTTTAATGGATATACCGCTTATCTCATTGTTTGGGTGACTCTTATATACACATAAAAAAGAAGGAAATGTACTCTTGCTCAGCAATATTCAAGGGATGTACCCTCAGCCAAAAAGAAGCAACCATTAACCAGGCCAGCAATGAAAAAAAAAAACCCACCATCATCATTCCCCTAAACTTTACAAAAGAGAAAATAACTCTTTACATGTCTTTAAACAGAGGACAAATTTGCTGGTGCAAAGAACTGGGAGCTTTCTACTCCTCCTTCTTCTTTTTAATTTTTCTCAGCATCTACTTCTGTCCTACTACCGTAGCACCATTGAGAGTGTCCTGACACACAGCATTCTTGTATGGTACGGGAGCAGCTCTGTAGCGGACAGAGAAGCTCTACAAAGAATCATTAAAACTGCCCAGAATATCATCAGGCTCCAGCTATCAGCCCTGGATGACATCTTCGCTTCTCGCTGTTTGAGGAAGTTGCACAACATTGTCAGAGACTCTTCCCATTCTGCTCACAATCTTGTGAACTGTTGCCTTCTGGCAGAACATACAGAACAATGAAAACTTGGACCACACGTTTTGTGAACAGTTTTTATCCCAGAGCTATAATTGCACTTAACAATATACGTAAGGACCACCATCAGTGAGCCGTTGGACAGTATTACTTGGTCTGTTGTGTGAATGCTTGTGTGTTTTAGGGGGAGTGGAATTTTGGTGGGTGGAGGGAGTGTTTGGGGATTGTCATGTGTGTGCGCGTGTTGGGTCTGGTCTCTGGGTGTTATGTGAATTTCGTTGTATGTGTATACTGTGTATATATGTAGAATGACAATAAAGAATTCAATTCAATATATGCTTTTTTATGTCACAAGAGTCACCCATAGTTCATGGCATGATGTGAAAACTGCTTCACCTCTGGGCCAGAGCAATCTTAAGTTTGTCATTTTCCATTTTTAGCTGCGCATCCACAGGAACCCCGTGTGAGATTTTGTCCTCATCCGTTCCATTCACACTGGACGTTCGAGTAGAACAGGGAGTTTCACGGCCCGATTCCTGCAGGATAAGATTTCAAGAGGGCAGAAGAAGAAGCACCATAAGCAAGGCATTCGTTTCTCGACATGTTAGATCAGGTTGCAAAACACACAATAACACCCCTACAATAACACCCCATCTTTGGAATCAGCTAATGCTTACCATCAAGGTTGACACCTTCCCCGCTATTCCAGAAAAACTTCAGTATTAAATTGTAATACTTTAATATTTAGAATAGAATAAATTAACAGAGTTGGAAGGGACCTTGGAGGTCTTCTAGTCTAACCCCTACTTAGGCAGGAAACCCTATACCATTTCAGACAAATAATCTCTTCTTAAAAACTTCCAGTGCTGGGGCATTCATAATCTCTGGAGGCAAGTTAATTGTTCTAACTTGTCAGGAAATTCCTCCTTAGTTCTAGGTTGCTTCTCTCCTTGATTAGTTTCCATCCGTTGCTTCTTGTCCTGCCCTCAGGTGCTTTGGAGAATAGCTCTTCTTTGTGGCAGTCCCTGAGATATTGAAACACTGCTATCATGTCACCCTGAGTCCTTCTTTTCATTAAATTAGACATACCCAATTCCTGTAACCGTTCTTTATATGTTTTAACCTCCAGTCCCCCTAATCATCTTTCGTTGCTCTTCTCTGCACTCTTTCTAGAGTCTCAACATCTTTTTTACATTGTGGCGACTAAAACTGGATGCAGTATTCCAAGTGTGGCTGGTAACTAATTTATTTATTTAAAATAACTTTTTAAAATCTCCATTATTAAATTTAAAAGCTGCCCGTTTCACTGTCCAGTGACTCTGAGTGGCTTACAGCATTGTAAATGCACATATAAACCAATGAAGATATTTCAACAGTAAGAATTAAAACATTAATAATGGACACAAAATGACATAAAAAGGACCAAAGCATTAATGAGGTGAAGGTGGAATCTTTTCCTGATCAGCTAACCCTCTCCAGAGTAGATGACCTCATAGGGACCCAGGTCCATTTGGCAGAAGCAGGTTTTCAGGCACTTTCAGAAGACCAAGAGGGTGAGGGCAGATAGAGGCCTTCAAAGAACTTTTTGGGTTTTTTGCATTCACAGGTTTCTTAATTGAAAACTTTTTCTCCCAAGCATTTAGAATCGATACAATATGTTCAAAAAATAGTCTTGTCAATGCAAACTGATCCCTTAGCAAAATCATAGGTTGCATTCATGGCAACTTAGTACCCAAGAGAAGGTGTGACAGGTTTTTTAAAAAAATTCCTAGTATATAAAGAAATGCAAATGACAAGGAGGACAGATTAAGAATCTTTTTCTCAGGAAGTGTTAACTTTTTTTTTTAATATGGGGAGAATTAAATCTGAGATGGGAGGATTAAAACAGTTCAATATGATCCCCCTCTTTCTAATCAAAAGGATGCAAAATATCTGTAGCTTGGGGTTGAAATGAGGGGGTCCTTGGTGCTCTCTGAGCTTGGTTTTGTTTTTCTTGCAAACATTTTGTTACCTAACTGAGTAACGTCATCAGTTCTAGTAAGGAGTGCAGTTTGCTCTCAAGCCTTACTAGCACCTATGACGTTACCTAGTTTGGCTAATGAAACAGGTGCAAGAAAATGAGCAAGCTCAGAGACCACCAAGGATCCCTCATTTTTACATAAGTTGAAGCCTCGCCTTCAGTTCTGACAACCAGAAGTCAAAGGCTGCATTCACAAACAGAGCAGTAAATCACAATTTGCTAATGAAACAACAGATTAGCTTGGCCCAATGTTTAAACTATGGAGTAGAAAGTTGGTCTCTGACAGGAAGCCACTTGAAGAGACTAGAAGCATTTGGAATGTGGATTGACAGGCAGCTGTTATGTATAAGCTGGGTTGACAAAATCAGAAATGAGGAGGTGAGAAGCCACCTGGGAAAGCCAAGGGAAAAAAACATAAAAAAGAGAAAGTTAGAATATTTCAGACATGGGATGTGACACCCGGAAAAATACGGCCTACTTCACTTAATCCTCCAGGAAAAGATAGAAGACAAATGAGGTCCAGGCAGCAGAAGAACACGTGGCTTCAAAATCTAAGGGACCGGTTTGGACAAAACTCAGCAGCACTTTTCGTGCAGCTGTTGATAAAAATAGGATGATTAATAATAATAGGACAGCCAGGATGATTAGGGGACTGCAGACTAAAACATATAAAGAACGGTTACAGGAACTGGGCATGGCTAGTCTAGTGAGTAGAAGGACCAAGGGAGACAGGATAGCAGTGTTCCAGTATTTGAGGGGCTGCCACAGAGAGGAGGAAGGGGTCAAGCTATTTTCAAAGGCACCTGAAGGCCAGGCAAGGAATAATGGATGGAAACTGAACAAGGAGAGATTTAACCTGGAAATAAGGAGAAATTTTCTGACAGTGAGAACAATCAACTAATGGAACAGAAGTTGCCCTTGAAAGTTGTGGGGGCGTCATCACTTGAGACTTTCAAGAAGAAATTGGACTCCCATCTGTCAGAAATGGTATAGGGTCTCATGCTTGGGCAAGGGGTTGGACTAGATGACCTACAAGGTCCTTTCCAATTCTGATTATCTGTTAAGCAATCTGTTAAGGACTGCCAACATGATCGCCAACGTCTGATGATGGGTATGGCACAACAACAAAAAGAAGAAAGTTTAAACTCAACCAATCTACAGGAAATCATTTTTTTCTCAGCCAATGCTTTATTTTAAATTCATTTCAAGATCTTAAAGCTTTCAGTCAAAACTTGCCTCTTTGCCTTTTGCAAGCTTGACATGACAAGTCAGTCATTCCCTCATCCTTGAATTAAAGAACAGATCATGACTTACTTGTGAATGGTTACTGGAAGTTTCCATTTTTTCTTGTGACCGGTCTCTGGCCAGTCGAGCGGCTTCTTTCACCTCCTGGAACTTCTCAGCAAACTAAACAGGGACACAAGGATCAAAACATTGCCTTAATTTTTGGATTTTAGAGCTATGTAAGTGGGAAAATGCATTTTACATTGGGGTGTGTCTTGGTCTCATAGGTGGCTGGTCACAAATTGCAATAAACTTAGACATACATAAGACTTATTAAACTTAGTAGACATATTAACTTGCTCCAATTCAGAATTCATCTCCATGAATACAAAAGAGTAGGAAAGAGAAAAGAAGTACTCAACCATTGGAAAAACAGTAGATAAATGCACTTTCTGTTCCTCTGTAGAAAGTGTCCTAAACAGCACCTTAGAACTATTTTAACATAGCATTTGCTGGCTCTTAAGAATTCACCCAACAAGTTAATCCATCATTCAGTTTTTGCTTAGCTTGCGGCTTGCAAACCATGGTTTATGGTTTAGTATATGCAAAAACACCTGTAGTTATTCAGCAAATCCTGATTTCCCACCCCTGCCCTGAAAATCTATAAACCATGCAGTTCATTACCATCTTATTTTCTTTTTCAGTTGTTGGCATGTGGTAAGGAGCAACACTGCCCCCTCACCCCGTATGAATGAAAGCAGTACCTTTGATTCCAGAGTAACTGGAGTATCATTTTTTGCCATAAGATTTTATGCCAATAAGTACAGGGTTGCTGAAAGATAAAATTTGGATGCAAACTGGTGCCAAACCATTTGAATGCAAAGTCCAAGAACCACATCTTCAGCTGCATTCTAATGGATACCAGTGGGTCTCTGTTTTGCCACAAGACTGAATAATTCTAATTTTAAGAATATTAAGAGAGGCAAAAACAAGTGTGCAGTACATTGCTGAACTGAATTTCAAGCTTCTTAAAAGAGGAGGAGGAGAAGGAGGAGAAGGAGGAGAAGGAGGAGAAATCCTTAGTGCTGTCTCAGCTTGCTTGTTTTTTTTTGCAGATGTTTCATTACTGGAACTAGGTAACATCATCAGTAAAGGAGAAAGGAAAAAAGGAAAAGAAAGAAAAGAGAGGAAGAGAGGAAGGAAAAAATTAAGGGTGGGAGGGGGAAAGAGAGGAAGGGAAAGGAGAAGGAGAAAGAAGAGATGAAGGTGAAAATGAATTGCAAGGAGGAAAAAGAAAGGAGGGGGAGGAAGAGAAGGAGAAGAAAGAAGAAGCAGAGAGAGGAAGATGGAAGAAATGAAGGTAAAAATAAAGGGGAGAGGAAGAAAGAAAGGAGGAGGATGAAGAAGGAAAGGGACAGGAAGCTGAAAATAAAGAGGAAGAAGAGGAAACAGAGGAAGGAAAGGAAAAAGAAGAGGAAGAGATGAGGTGAAAATGAAAAGGAGGAAGGGGAAAGAGAAATACATAGAACAAATACAAAGGAAGCAATATTTAATCCACTGCCCATCATTTTATGATCACCCACACACTAACCTACAATTAGTGTCAGAGGGAGTGGGGGAGAGAAAGAAGGGCAATAAAAGAGCAGATAAAATGTAGAAAGGAAACAAAAAAGATGTTTTTTGTTTCAGCTGAAGTGCAAATACTCATTATTTTCCCCCTCCCTTTGATCGTGGCCCTCTTCCAACTCTCCAATTTTCCACCAAAGCATCCTTTTATTGGCTATAACAGGACAGGGTGAAAATGGGAATAAATATTCATTTGAAAGCAGAGTTATAAATCCTGGCTGTGAATATAATTTGTCAGTTAGCCTTATAGTAACCCTGTGGCTGAGATCACATTTAAAACTTAGATTTGTGTCATCCATCACTAAAAGTTATTGCTAGATTTGAGGAGAGGAAAAGGAAACAAATATCCTGTTTTTCCACCACCATTATCTCTGCAAAAACTGACTGAAATGGATGCTGCATCATAGCAATCCTCTTTGCTGTTTCAATACAATTAAAATGAAATGAAACTAGTACATTAAGGACATTATTACATTTTCCTAGGTTTGATCATTTTCCTTCTGGGTCCTCTTAAACATACATTGGTGACATTTGACAACTGTAGGAAGACAAGCAGAGGTGGTACTTAGCAGGTTCTGACCAGTTCCGGAGAACCGGTAGCGGAAATTTTGAGTAGTTCAGAATCCCACCTCTGACTGGCGCCCTGCCCCCGTTCCTTGATTAGTTTCCACCCATTGAAAATTCCAGATTTTTTTTTTTAAAAAAACCATTTTCACTGCTCTCTCACAAAATGCAAGTTGCATCACCCCTCCTCTGCAATCCAGATAGGAGACACAACTAGATGGATTCATTCTTGTTTATTGGAAAGCTACTTTAGCAGAATCTTGCGAGTCAGAAGGGACAGACTTCTCATCATCCCCTTTAACCCTCTGACCTATTAGGGAGGGTCCTTCCTAGCTTTCAATGCAGTGATTGGGACATCTGTCATAGAAGGCCGTTCATTTCCTTATTCCAGCAGGACTCTTTTTAAAGCTATATCTGTGCTCAGTTTTTCTTGGCCCCTTTCCCAAACACTTAGACCAAGGATCCATAACTCCCTCAAAGGAAGAACATACTTGAACCTTGAATGGGGCTTTTCTTCAGAGTACCATGCACAGGGTTGCTTCACAAGCCATAGTTAATTAGTTAGTTTAATTTATTGTCATTGCACCTCGTACAATGAAATTAAATGCCATTTTCAGTGTACATTATACATAAAAGAAATGAAAACACAAACACACATCCTTCGCGTTCTATATAATTGAATTGAAACCCCTGATATTGCATTAATATTGCACTATACAGCAGAATTCAAAAGAGCTACTGCCCTGGGATAGAAACTGTTTTTCAGCCTATTTGTCCTTGTTTTTATTATCCTGTACCGTCTGCCAGATGATTCAAAAAAAGGGGTGCCCAGGATGAGATGGATCTTTGAGAATGTTTTGAACTTTCTTAAGGCAGCAGGAGCTCTAAAGCTCTTCCAAAGAGGGGAGAGGGCAACCAATGATCCTCTGAACAATGATGTTAACAGTAGAGGGGTTGCCAGCAAATTGGCCATGCCAGATGGTAGGAACTCACTTGGAAAAGTACCGTGATCCATTTTAGAAGAATCGGGAAGCCTTGTTTAGGCTTTTCAGAGGAAAAACAAAACCTGGAGAGGTTATCTATCTTTCCAACCCATCTCAGGTGGAGGAGAATGATAGAAAAAAATAGTGCAGTGGTTCTGATTAAGGATCTAAGAGAATTAGTTGTGAATACCATTAATTCTAAGAAGAATTAGTTGCGAATGTATCTTTTTTTGTTTAATGTATACTGAGAGTTTTTACACCAAGACAAATTCCTTGTGTGTCCAATCACACTTGGCCAATAAAGTATTCTATTCTATTCTATTCTATTCTATTCTATTCTATTCTATTCTATTCTATTCTATTCTATTTTATTCACATGCCTCAAATCTAAATAGAAAAGCCATTTACAATGAAAAAAAATATAGAAACAACGTTGTAGGGCAGTCCAAACTGGCTTCATAAATATGTACAAGCACCCATCCCTGAATCACAGGCCTGCATTTCAATGACCCCAAGACATTCTCTGACAGACATCCAATTAAAAGACTTATTAACTCCACTTCTTCAGAGAACATCCAAGACTTCTGCTCAGCAACCACAAAATAGCCAACTATGAAATTATTCAACAGCTTTCCCCAAGCTGATATATTGGAACATTCATCTTCATTAGTGGGGCTGATGGGAGTTGAAGTCCACCATCTTGAGATAGAATTCTCGGGGACCGAATACCCTGAAGAAAAATCCTGCTTTCCCACCCACTTTGAAGAATTCTCACTTTTCCTAAGGAATCCTGGAAGCTGCTACCTCTCAACCGTTTTGAGAATTCTCCAATACTAGTAGAAAAGAATATTTGTAGTTCAAGGTTTCTCTCATCAGCATGAGATTATCCTCTGTACATATTGAAGGGTGTCTTGTGAGATGGTTTAGAATGAATAACAGAGTTGGAATGGACCTTGGAGGTCTTATAGTCCAACCCCCTGCCTAGGCAGGAAACCCTACACCACTTCAGACAAATGATTATCCAATCTCTTCTTAAAAACTTCCAGTGTTGGAGCATTCACAACTTCGGGAGGCAAATTGTTCCACTGATTTGTTTGTTCTCCACATTCACACTGAGTGTCTTCTAAGCCTCATTTTCTTGGATTGTCCTTTGATCTCCCCACTTCAGCTCAGTCTTGAATGTTATATGTCTACAGTTTATAGGTATTTCTGATACAAATAAAGAGAAGGCTCAAGATTGAACCATGGAGTCCTTGGTGCTCTCTAAATCTACCGCAGTTGGGTAAAATTGGGGCAATGAAATGTCAGCAAGAAGATAACCCAGCTCAGAAGGCATCAAGGACTCCACAATTTTCCATTAGACATCCCATAGTCCTTTCCCGCCTGTTTCAGTAAGACTAAAGCAGGCCCAATCCAAAAGCAAACATGGATTCTCCTAGTAAATATTTCTTTTTTTTTGCATTTCAAATTGCTTCTGGTCTTTGGCTGTTTGGAATGCCTAGGGTAGGGTCTTCTGGGAGATATTACCCAATGGCCACACTTCTCTTATTGGAAGGGGGAGAAATCTATAAATATAAAAACGAAAGACCAATCATGCATCATCACATCAACCTTAAAGCCTACAAACTTGAAATTTAGCACGCATTAGTAGAGCATTAGTATTTCCTATATTATTATTAATGCTCTGATGCTAAGGAGTTCTACTCCCCCTCCTCACCTGAAAAAACATCTGTTCCAAATGCACAACACAAGCAGAGGAGAGGTTTTAGTTTCATGGCAGCAACCAGCTTTAGTACAGAACAGTTGAGCTAAGCCACGCCCAGGCTCCTTGCTGTCTCTGTCTTGCTCACACAGCAAATACTGTTTCACTTTCCAAACAGCCCTCAACTCTCTCACACACTGACAAGACACTAGCCAGATGAATAGAGATGGATGCTGGTAGACAGAGGCAGAATCCCCCCTTTATTTTCCTCCCCCAAAACTAAGCCCAACCACATAGTTTTGTAGCGAAGCACTGGTATCAAGCTAGTAATTAACTATGCCATGGATTTAATGTTTAATGACATCAAAACAAGAAGTGTAAATGTGAATGAAGTCAACTACAGTTTACGACACAGGCACCAGCCTCCCCCATCACAGCTGAAGGTGGAGAAATGTTGCCTGGGGAACATTATACATTCAGCCACAAAATTAGTCCCCTGTTTCTAATTAAGAAAAAAGAAGAAGAAGGAAGTCTGGGGCACACAAGGGCAGAGTCACACACAGAAAGGCTGCAAACTCCATAAAGGTTTGGCTTGTGCAGCAACCAGGCTTCCCCTCCCGCTTAGGGAAGGGAGGTGGCAGCTGAACTGGCTGGCAACGTGGCCTCTGCTCTAATGCCTCGTAGCCTTTCAAGCTTTCAGGGTTGAGAAGGGCATGATTAACAGGGACTTCTTAGAAGGCTCAAGGGCATTTCATCCAGGGAGCCAATGCAATCTCAGGCTGTTAATGGCTGAATGCTTTGCATTTTTTACAGGACCTGTTTGCTCTGTGTCAAGATAAGTGCCTTTTTTAGAGCAGAGACCAGCACTATGATTATTTGCCCCGAGTTTTGCTTCAAGACAGAAAGGAAAGCTTATTCCTGATTCTTCGTTATTAAACTGCTGCTTACCAAACAATCACTTGGCTTGGTTACAGCAATCTTTCTTCTACAACTTTTGCCAACACTCAAAAAGGTTACAGTCACACAACCACCAATACACCGTCCTTGTTCCCTCCTGCTTAAACAGCAAAGAGAAGCTTAGACATGTCTCTTCTCTTGCCAATTTACCTGCCACTTGTTGCCTTATCCCAATCCCACAGATAATGGTCAATTCCCTCAACACTTGTCAAACTATTTACTAAGTCTGCATTACTATTACTATTAATCCTCCCATCCTTCCTTTCACCCATCTCCTCCCACTTATGACTGTAACTTTATTGCTTGTATCCTAACAATTTTATCGACTGTTTCCTAGTATAACTTGATTGCTTATTTGTACCCTATAACTATATTAAGTGTTGTACCTTATGATTCTTGATGAATGTATCTTTTCTTTTATGTACACTGAGAGCATTTGCACCAAGACAGATTCCTTGTGTGTCCAATCACACTTGGTCAATAAAGAATTCTACTCTATTCTACTCTATTAATATCAATTCGCATTGGTTTCAGTGCATCATCTTTAAATGATGATTGGTGAAGCTAAGCTATGAGGGTTTTGTTGTTGTTGTTGTTGGTGGTGGTGGTGGTGGTCCAGTTGGAGTTTCGAGATATTCTGTGTGGTGGCTGAGCCCAGCCAATTATGCAAAACACACAGGGAGGCAGGGAAGCATGGCTAAAGATAGAATGTCCAGGGACAACGTTTCAGTCCAATGTATTTCACAGGGTTGGCTTTCAGGAGATAAACCTCACCAAGGAAGTATCTGGAGTTCCTAGAAGACAGACAGACTAGGGAACTAACTAAAAGAATTTATTTTTTTTATTTGTATTCATTTGATTTGTCAACCGCTTACAAGATAATAAGTATAAACATGAGTAAGAATACAGGAAATAGATACGAATAAATGGGGACAATAGGACAGGGACAGTAGGCACGATTGTGCACTTATGCACGCCCCTTGCAGACCTCTTAATGGATGAATCTGTAATTATCTCCTTCCTTTGATGAGTAAGGCTACTTGATAGTTTTCTATTGATAGTCACTGAAGGGAGAAGAATTTAAAAATCAAATCTACCCCAATGAAACCGTCTTGGGATGGTCTAGAGAAATAAAGGTTCCCACATACAGTGATTTGCAGGGGCATATTATCACAAAGTAGGGGTACAGCATCAGGCATTCCCCAAAACAATTAAAATAGAAAAAAAGATAATTAGCACCACCCACAAGCTACTTCCCACCAGCTAATTATAGGAAATTAATCACCTTCCCAGGGAGAAGTTGCTTGTTAATTAAGAAAAAAAATGGAACAAGTTCCAATTTATCAAGTAAGACTCCCACTGGATCCATATGCCTCTTCTTTTAATTTGGTGAGATTATTGCAGAGCTTACCAAAAAGAAATAAAAACTACCCTGACAACAACCACCGCCTCCAAACACATGCAAAAGTAAACTCCAATTTACCTACCTTTGTCAGCTGCTGTTCAGAAGAAAAACCCAGGCCGAAGACGGTGTTGGCTCTGCTATCAGCCCACTGGCCAAACTTCTGGGAGGTTTTTGTGAAAGTCATGTTAGGTGTGATGGTGCTATTTATAATCACCTGAAAAAGAAGACACATAACATACAAAGAGCATGTTATTTGAACGTGAACATTAGGCCTGCAATGCTATCACGGAAGCAAAGAGTTGATTGCAAAGCGTAAATATTCAAATGAATTTTGCACACTCTTGATTGAGGCATTTTTCAATCCTGAATTACAAAGATGAAAATTCTTGGCATCCAGCTGGACTGCAAATTCACAGCCCCTTAATCTTGCTGTTGTTAAACTGGGGTCTATTTTGCCCCCATCCAAATCTCCCCAGCAACAGACGATGAGCACTTGAGTATCGTCATTTAGTTAGCCAGGGGTTGAGATGGATCACTGAGCATTATCAATGTACTGATGATATTTACCGTGAGTATGGGAAAATATACTTGCACGACAAACAGAAGCTTACAAAGAACACAGAATAATAAAGTTGGAAGGGACCTTGGAGGTCTTCTAGTCCAACCCCCTGCTCAAGCAGGAGACCCTAGACCATTCCAAACAAATGGCTTTCCAATCTCTTCTTGAAAACCTCCAGTGTTGGAGTATTCGCAACTTATGGAGGCAAGTTGTTCCACTGGTTAATTGTTCTCACTGTCAGGAAATTTCTTCTCAGTTCTAGGTTGGCTCTCTCTTTAATGTGATTCAAACTAAGCAGAAATTAAGGCAAACAACAGGGACTCAATTTGAACTTGAGAGATATTCAGTCCTGTCCATCAGATATTGGAAAAGAGCTTTGCCTTGTTATTACGATATAATAAGGGAAGAAAGAAAATGCTTTAAGGCGATAGTATGTCAACTCATCAGGAGCAGGACATCCCATGGCTATGGAAAGCACATCCATCTAGCTTGACCTAACTCCCTTTACTTCAACTAAGTCTCAATTAACTAACTCAGTTCTCTATTTAATCTGCACACCAATTCTCTTTGCCATAGTCATTCAGAGAAGGACTAACTGCTGTAAGGCATTATACAAGTATTCCAAAAAATTGCACATAATTCTCTTTAATACACCTCCCATGTTGCCAACAGATGTGCAAAGCCTGAATCGGAACCAATATTCCAGGAAGACATCAAAAGTAAGTACTGTATATTGCCTCGCCCAGCTGCTGTAATAATTTCTGTACTTCTCCTGATGTGTTTCAAATGACTGCAGTATTGGATGTTTTTCAGTTTTATTGAAAACAAAGGCAATTGCTTCATGGCAGTTTGGATTCTACAGGTGTATGTTTCTTTGATGTGTGTGTGTGTGTGTGTGTGTGTGTGTGTGTGTTTGTAAAGCCTTGCAGCATTTTTAACATTTTTCTTTCTTTTTGGGGGTAGAAATTAGGTTTTTAATGTCCTCTTCTGCTTCTTTCAGTCTTCATCAAAGGAGACTAAAATCATTTGAAATGGAGAATAAAATGCAGAAACCATTATACAGTGAAATTGAAACTGGATGACCTAAAATAGAAGGAAGAGAAGTGTGGAATCTCCACTAATTTCATTTTTTATAATCTTTATGTAAATTTTATATAAATTACATAAGATATATGAATTCAGATTTGGCCTGTTCCATCTGAAATCTACTTAACCAGTGTGAACTTTTGTGTGTGGGGGGGATAGAGAGAGATAAAATCAAGGTTTTAGGTTACTGAGAATTCTAGGAACTGTCTACACTTATGGAGAAGATCAGTGACAGCAAAGATTATTTTTGAGCAGTGTTTCTCAAACTTAGCAATTTTAAGATGTGTGGACTTCCACTCCCAGAATTCCCCAGCCAACGTGTTCCAGAGCCTAGAAGACAAACCCTATGCATATATAAAATATTTGGCCCATTTAATGCAGAGATATTTCACAGAAAATGACCACCACATTTGACTATGGAGATTTTCAACCATCCAAGTCATGGTTGTTCCAATGGTGCTTTTTCTAAAAGCTTCAAAATTGTTTTGCCTCTCATCCAAGAAACTTACTCCAATTCTTAAATTGGAGAACTTCTTAAGAACTGAAGATGCTCCTTGGATGAGAAGCTAAATATTTTCAAACAAAAAAAAAACCAAGACAATCCATCGGCCTTTTGGAAAAAGCACCTTTGGGTCTATCATACTTCCAAGCAATAAACTTAAGAACCGTGGTGGTGCAATAGTTAAAATGTGGTATTCCAGGCTAACTCTGCTGACTTCCAAGAGTTTGATCCTGACCAGTTCAAGGTTAATTTAGCCTTCTATCCTTCTGTAAAATGCTTAGAGAGGCTGCAAAGCATTGTGAAGCGAAGCGGCATATAAGTTTAAGTGCTATTGCTATTTTTCCTTATTTAATATTCTAGAAAATATCCTCCAGGTTGCCAAACTAATGCCTAGCACTGAAGGCAGAAACACTTCCCATGCTTGGTGACAGTTGTGTGAAATTCCAGATTGGCTAATATATTATCCATATGAGTATACAAAATAATGGCATATTTTTATTCGTTGCCAAAGGAAGACACCAATAAATCTTTTTCAGAGTGTACGACAAAGAGGCATTTCCAACAAACCCACATTATATTCAGCAAAGTAGAACTCTTCCCCTCCCACCTATTCTGGGGCTTAATACAGTTGATAAATGACAAAAGAGTTCAGGTTAGAATTTATCAGATTTTCACATCCATCTCCCGTTTCCCAGATGTATTGCCAGTTATTGCTCTGGAAGTTCCTGGCACAGTGGAGTTCCAATTATCAAGGAAAGATTTAGCAGGATTTGTTCCGCTTTTGATATCTGGGTATCTTCTTACAAAGGGGAGTTTCAGTCCAAAAGTCCATTATCACAATGAATATGATGTGGTTTCAGATTCCCTGGGAGTTTTTAAATTGCGGGTGAATTGGAAATCATTTATCAATGTAGATCATGCCTTCCTACTTTGAGTGGTTAAGAAGGCCCATGTCACCTGAAATAAAAGAATATATAATTACACAGAGGATAACTAACATATCATTTGCGGAAACAGCAGTATCAGTTAAAGAGCCAAATCAGCCAGAAATGTGCACGAAAGGCCAAAATTCCTCCTGAATAAATACCTTTGTGTTTGATGAAAGAAGTACAAGCAAAAATGTAATTAACTAGGCAACCCTTGGCTGAGAGTCCCAAATTTTGGAAACAGCTCCTGGAAAATATAAGTTGTTTCAATTCAAATTTCACCTCCAGCTATTCTCCCATGAAATGACCTTTGCTTTGGTAAGAACCTATTTTTAGTAGGATGACCTGTAATACATATAAAACTCCATCCTTCTTTGCAGGTTTGTATGCCATCTATGCAAACACTCAAAACCATTGTCCAAATAACAATTATTATTAGTGAAGAATCAGCAGTGAGAAGATTGCTGGAAGCATTATAGAAGTTATACTTGAAATGAATATACAAGTAGTACCTGCAGCAATTTGAAAATGAAAGGCAAATACCAATTTCCAGAAATCTGCTAAAACATAAAAAAAGAAAGAAATAACTGTAACTATACTGCAATAACTATTTAGCAGAAGATCTTGTATCCGTAACACAAGACCAACAAATACGAAGATGCTCTATGACATGAAGAAAGAACGAATTAAAAATTCAAAGATAACAAGATGCAAAATTAGAGAGAGGTAATTACAGTGGCAAAGCAACCCATATTAATGGTCAAGGTGTTCAGCTTTCCTGATCAACCATGTATTCATCTGGAGAAAGTGGGGGAAGGAAGTCAAGATAGCAGATGGCTAACCACAACATCTGCTGCTTCTTCCCCGAATGCCATCTTAAGACTAACTAAATATAGCGACTCAAAAATCAAGCCAGCTTCCCACCCACACCAACATGCTTAATATCTGACTTGAAGAATCAGATCTGAAGAAGTTGGAGGTTTTGTTCTGTGGCTCCATGGAATTCGGATTGGTTCCAATGAAATGTCCAGCCATTAAGCTTGGAGATCAAGTCACACTCTTTGCTCACCTAAATCAAGTCATAACTACAGAGACGCCCGTACTGTGCTCCAGCCCAAAGAACAGTCTACATAAGCAATCACAGAAGCTACAAGGAAGGGGAAAGTGTTCCTGGCTTGACCTTTTGAAATCTAACTAATATACATTTGTTTTTCCTGGCATCCTTCTGTGAAACTGAATGAAGGCAAAAGAAAGGTGGAATTTACAAATGGCTTTCATTCTTTGAGATAGACGTTGACAAGTGATCTGGCACCAAACCAACCAGAATGCATCTGTTTGGCCAAATTTCAGCACCTGCTTGGATAGAACATATACTCATTGCTTCATCGAGTTCCTGCAGTATGGGCTGAGAAAATGCAAGGCTGCAAGTCAAAATATACCCATTTCCCAGAAGAGGAATTGATGAGGTTTGCTTTCTGCCACCCATTTTTACTTCTGTTATTGTTTTGGTTTCTTTTGGTGGGGGCATCCTTCTGCACTACAGCCAGCCAGCATGGTTATTTTCCAAAATTGCCTCTGAAGACTTAAGCGGAGGTTAAGAGGTATGCTTGGAATAGCTTTCTGTTTTATCTATGTGTTAACAAATTTATTGACCATTAAAAAAAATGAGAATCAAATAAAATAGAAAGCCTAGCTCCTGCTCTGATTTATAGTATAAATATTTTAGGTCTTGTGAAAAATGGCATGACAAGAAGATTTGATTAGTACGAGAAGCAGTTTGCTTAACCACAATTTATTAAATACATTAGACCCCCAACTGACTGGCTTGCATAATAAATTAAGTCACAAACTTTGATTTATCAACCACATTGATTAAGTTCAAATATATATCACTGCATTAAGCTGCAAAAAGCAGATGATGATCAAATCAGCCTGTAACTCAGAGCAATATTTCTCAATATTTCCTAAGATGTGTGGACTTCAGCTTCCAGAATTCCCCATGGTGGCTGGGAATTCTGGGAGTTGAAGTCCACCCAATTTAAAGTTGTTGGGATTGAGAAATTATGACTTTGTAAAAAAAATTATTAAGTAAACATTAAAAACAGTTGAACACAGTGGGACTTTCTTGGCCATCATTTCGGCCATTCATACTATAGCATAGAAATAGATATAACATATAAAAATAACATATAAAAAAGAGAGAAATTATGACTTAGAACAATGTGTGAACCGGAATTTATTACAGTTATCTAGAAAATATGACTTCCATGTAGAAAGGAAGCAGGTACACATATGAAGTTCAACTCCCTGGTGGATAATTGGTCTTTCTTTGAAGGAAACTACAGAGAAGAACCTTAATAAATGGTTTATCAAAGGAAACAAATGGATTGATTTAGAAATTAAGTATCTTTTTTAGAAGATGCTTTACCTTGCTTTGTTGTCATACAAATTGATGAAAATCTTATCCTCAAATGTTCGTCATGAAATTGTCACTCAGTTTGAGCTACACCACCACAAAACATTTATTTTATCATTACTGATGACTTTTTTCCCCCAGAAATGTTATCTTATTTGCTTGCTACTGCTAAACACTCTTGAGACAGAAGAAAAGCTGGTAATTTTAAACAGTAATCATCTTGTTGCTCAGTTAGCACCTAGGAAATTCATTACTGTAGCAGCATTCAAAATTTAAGAGCACTGCAGGATTCTTCATTTATTTTATATTGTACCTTACTACGTGTGACTGGTTCAGCAACTCTCTCTCTCTCTCTCTCAGAAAACCCCTAAATATCAGCTGGACAGACCACTGGGAAATACGCAACATAATGAGAAACAGGTAGCATCACATCGGGCTGCGTGAAGAGCTGAAGAGGTCACTTTTGCTCTTGTAAAGCTCAGACCATGGCACAAAATTAGCTTTGTTCAATAAAAATCTCATAAGTCAACCTGACCAGCATTCCTTCCTCATTCTGTCTATCATCACCAATAACTCTTCAGGATCATCAACATGCTGCCATTTTGATTCAGGGCAAAGAAAGGGCCTCTTTGAAGGCAACTCAAGGTTGTATGGTGGGGTGGTTTTGCTAAAGGAGGCCTGAATTCTGGAATAAATCTTTAGATTTGAGTTCTGGAAGTTGCTGTCTGCGGAGCAACACGAGGCTATCGGAGAGGAAAAGAGTCAATCATTCTCTCCACCACACATTCTTCCTGTTACTTTGTCCACTTTCTTCCAAACGAGGATGCAAAGTTTCCAAGTTTGCAGATGTATTTGTGCCAAGCCAATGTTGAAAATGGGGCATAATATAAGGTGTCCCCTCACCCACTGAAAAACCACCATCCATTTCTCCCTCCATTGAGCCTTTATTAAAACTTGCATTAAAACAAAAGGGCCCTTGTTCTGTTGCACAAATATCAAAGGATAATGACAATACAGTCCAAACAAAACAAAAACCTTCCAGCCCAAATCTAATGCATTAAATGACTAGTATATATTTTTATTAATACAGAACAGAGACAGCCTATTTCTCTTTCCTTCTTTTCCTCCCTTTCCTCTTCCCTCTCCTCTTCTCCTTCCTTCCTGCCTTCCTTTCCTCTCTTCCCTCTTCCCTTCTCCTCTCTTCCTTCCTTTCTTCCCTTCCCTTCCCTTTTTCCTTTTCCCCTTCCTTCCTTCCTTCCCTCCCTCCCTCCTTCTTTCCTTCCTTCCTTCCTTTTCATCCTCATAAGAGATGGACTTTACATGTTCAGGCTATACAGCCAGAGGGAACAGTCAGACACAAAAGGAGTCAGGACCACAAAGACCAGCCTGGACTCTCTTTTGTGGGCTGATAAAAAAAGACAATTAAGGATCAGAAGTGGTATGTTCAGATTTTGTTCTTTATTTTGACCCCCTCCTAAAAATAGGAACATTGATGCCATCTAAGCAGCCTGTTGTTCATATTATCCACCCCTGTAATCTAAAGTACCTATCAAGGAACACACAAGTCCATAAAATTAGATCAGGTGGTTTCAAAGTCTTTCAGATCTTCACACACTCAGCTTCTGAAACCATGGTTTCACATAAGCCTAGTTTCACCCTTTAGAGTTCTTGAGTCTCTTTCTCTCTCTTTGGGAAAATAAAACACACAAAGCCAGCATGGACCAAGAAGAGTCACCCAGGGATGTTTTGCATGGCTGCCAGGTGATTTGGAGAACGCCAACATCTGCTTTTCCACCCCCACCCCCCAAAGTTGCTTCCCAAGTGGTTTGGCCAAGATACAGAAGGAGCTTTTAAAAGATTTCCCGTGGGTTGCAAAAGGAAGAAATTCAAAAATTCAGGGCAGGGAAACTAATTTAGCAAGTGGGGAAGGGGGGCGGGGAAGCAGAAGAAGCAAAATCAACACCTATTCTTGTAATTATGAGCAATAGCTACAGACTGTAGTCAAAAGCAATCAACGTTTGAACTCAAAAGGGGAAGAAATCAAGATTTTTGTAGATTGGTGATAATGGAAGGGACAACAACAGATTCAATGGGTGTGAATAACTTCTCAGCATCCAAGGGCCACACGTGACTTATTTTGGGGTGTGTGGAGGCCACATTGGACAAGATAGCCATGCAAAATAGGTGGGCCAAATCACACACAAATCAAATTTCTGCTTGATTTCTGGATGGTGGATAGGCAGCTGTATCTTTGTTGACTTGGTTCAACTTATTTTAGAACACACTGTAATTCGTGTCCTCAAATAAGAGATCATGCTCTGATTAGGTAATTGTGATTGGAGGACAATCCAGAGACTATAAAAGAGAGAATGAGGCCACATCTATTCCCAAAGCTTAGGCTGCTGTCCAGAATTTGATTAGTCCTGGATGATTAAGCATTGTACAGAGATATTTCATGAGAAGAGTCCTCCGCTCCTCTACTCACAACAGAATACCTTATGCCAACAGACTTGAAATTTTACGCTTAGACAACCTAGAACTACACCGCCTTCAGTCCAACCTAAGTGTAGTACATAAATTATCTATTGCAATGTCCAACCCATCAGTGACTACCTCAGCTTCAACCACAACAATACACGAGCACACAATAGATACAAACTCAAGGTAAACCGCAACAAATTCGATTGCAGGAAATACGACTTCAGCAACAGAGTGGTCAATGCCTGGAATACTCTACCTGACTCTGTAGTTTCTTCCCCAAACCCCCAAAACTTTAACCTTAGACTGTCTACTGTTGATCTCACCCGATTCCTAAGAGGTTTGTAAGGGGCGTGCATAAGCGCACCAATGTGCCTACCGTCCCTGTCCTAATGTTCCTTCTTATTCATATCCATTTCATGTGTTCATAATCATGTTTATACTTATACGTTATCTAATACATGCTTGACAAACAAACAAAAAAATAAATAAAAATAAATAAATAAAAACTGAATGGATTAGAAGCAATACCCAGCCACAATTCTTGGCTATAAGGTTTATCTGGCTTCCAGAAGTCCTGCTGACTTTCAGCCATGTGGGTGAAAGGAAAATAACATCAATAAACGTTGTTTTCAGACAATAAATATCAATGTGAATTCTCTGGATAGGTTTTCAGTTAGCATGCTGTGCAAATGCAAACTGTTGTAACTACTAAAACCAAAAGTATGGTTGTTGAACACATCTTTGCAGCTACTTCCATGTACAGGTTGCCCTCAACATATGGCCCAGGGTTGGGATTCAATTTTTTTAACAACCGGTTCTGTGGGCGTGGCTTAGTTGGTGGGCATGGCTTGGTGGTCATGTGACTGGGTGGGCGTGGCCAACTCAACATCACTCACATTGAGGCACACATCTCCTCACCTGGCCTCTCATGACAGTGGGAATGCTGCAATGGTCATAAGTCACTTTTTTCAGTGCCATTGTAACTTTGAATGGTCACCAGTTTTAGACCAAAATTTAGAAAGGGTATGTAAACTCACATTTGAATGTCAATCTTTCTAGCTGGCCAAGAAGCCTTGCCGAATGTCACTCATCTTGGTTCCTTGTCATTAAAAGCTTCTTTCCGGCAGCTCTGCTTCATTATTCAATTATTTCTTCAAAGTGCTGATCCCGGCTGGAAGAACTCCAACAGGGGAGTATTTCCTCCCAACAGCAGTGTAAAAAGCTTAAAACAACCCTTTCCCGTTAAGAAAGTATCAAGAAAGAAAGAAAAAACCTCCTTTGGAGACAGTAAGTCTAGGCATACTGCCAAGAATGTAATATGGGTGGAAAAAATAAAAGATTTTTTTTCTCAACAACCGGTTCTCCAAACTGCTTAGAAAGTGAACAACCGGTTCTAGAGAATCGGTGAGAACCAGTAGAACCCTACCCCTGGTATGGCCACATCTGAGGCCCCAAATTGATGCGGCTAAGCGAGGAATATGTTAAGTGAGTTTTGCCCCATTTCACGACTTTTCTTGCCACAGTTGTCAAGTGAATCACTGCAGTTGTTAAATTAGTAATATGGTTGTTAAGTCAATCTGATTTCCCCACTGACTTTGCTTGCAAAAGACATGACTCCGGGACACTCCAACCGTCATAAATGTGAGTCAGGTGCCAAGCATCTGAATGTAAAACCACATGGCCATGGGGATGCTGCAACGTGTGAAAAATGGTCATAAGTCACTTTTTTCAGTGCCGTTGTGTTCTGACCCAAATCTTGTTCCAAGTAAGCAGACACCAAACAGAGATAAAAGCAAAACCTTTTAATGCTTCTCTGAGAATTCCGTTAATGCACGGTTAAAAGGCTATTAAAACTAATTATCCCAGATAAGAACAAGACTTGTCAAGGTTGTGCAAGGCTGCCATGAACACTAGATAAAGCTACTAAGAAATATTTCAAACAGGAGTCTCCAAACACAAACCAGGATAGTCCGAACTTCCACAAGACTTGAAGTGCAAGAACTTCCTTGTTTCCTGCAAAGAATCCCACCTCTGAGGGCTGGCTTTTATCCCTTAAGGGAGGGGCCATCACCTTGCAGCCTTACTCCTGGATCGCCTGTGCTGCTGCAGCTGCTCTTTTCTTTGAGAAGC